ACGTCTTAAATTTAAATTGAAGATTCCACAGCATTTTAGAGTTTAAAGATTTGTCTAACCCTTCTAAAATGTTAACATTAAAAATTTGGACGTCCACGGGGAATAACCAGAGGTGACTAGGCCTACGTGTTAGGTACTGTAATTGGGTTATTAGAAATTATAGATAAAACATAGTCTCTTAGCTATTAAATTACAAAATCAGAGCTATATTGCTTCGGTAGTTTAGGTGTGGTTGAAATAACTGGGCGCTGGGAGGCAAAACGCGATAATTCCTCGGACGAATCGGTAACGGGGATATTCCCCGCGAGCCGGGTAGATGCAGGGAGACGTCCGCTCAATTACCCACCCGAACCAGTTTTGTCCGCCTCACGCACTGTCCGCCTCAAGCACGTCCGGGGGAAACACGGCACCGTCTAGGAGGAGTAATGGGAGATAGTTAATCAATGCTCGTAGCTCGTACAAAGCAACTCAGCCGGGCGGCAGGCACAATTTGTTTTTCAGGATTAATTTTGCCAACAGTGTCATTTAGAGGCTTCTGATTAACTATAACGAAGGTTTAGTAATTGAAAAATTATTTTTGTTCATATAATGAAATTATAAATGCCTCAAATTCAATTTTATATTTTTTATTATGAAATTAAACCGTCATAACCTAACCAAACCAACCAAACGTGCTGACAATGAAAAAATCTAATGAAGGTTTATTAATCGAAAAAATAGTTCTGTTCATAAAATAAAATTATAAATGCCTCAAATCCTATTTTTTATTTTTTATTCTAAAATTAAACTATCATAACCTAACCAAACTAACCAGACTTGCTAATAATGAAAAATCAAATGAAGGCTTAACAGAAAAAAATATTTCTGTTCATAAAATAAAACTATAAATGGGTCAAATTCAATTACATAATGTTTTAATTATAAAATTAAACCGCCATAACCTAACCAAACCAACCAAACTTGTTGATAATGAAAAAATTCAGTACAAAAAATAGTGCTACGGGTGGGATTTGAACCCGGGTCCTTCGGATCATCAGCCCAGCACTCTATCCACTACACCACCGAGGCCGTTGGCATCAATCGAATCGTCGCTGTAATGATGTTCCCTCAGCCAATCAGAAGCCTCAAAATAATACTGTAGGCAACACTGATCCTGAAATAAAAATTCAGCGGGCGGCAGGCCCCTTCGTTCAACGTTTGTTCCGAATCGAATTGAAAGAATCTAGGTAAGATCGAAATCTAATTCCAATCCAATTTCCAAAAGGAATGGAAAGGTTTGAAAGAAAATAGGAAAAGAGGAACACGGTCAACACGGAACACGGAATGACGGAATACGGAACATAGAGTTTGCTTTGCCGCCCAAATTCCTGTGCACTGTGCAGTCGCAGTCGCAGTGCTGTGCATCAGTTATTTTTATAACCAAAAACGTCGCCAGCGGTGATTCGTTATTGATATTATTTGTGTTTGATACGTAATAAAGTTAATTAGCTGTATTAGATGACAATGACGATTTATATTTTTTAGTTGATGAGGATGAGATGGCAGCAACAACCTTTGTGTAGCAGATGTACGTATTTCCAGTGAAATTATCGGTTAAAAATATATAATTTAGCCTAGAGAACTTATATTTGGCTTGTTTTAGAATTCAGCATTTGTTTTACATTCAAATATTTACGAGCTGTTTTAATTTAAGTACTTTGCAGTGTCTGGTTTTATTCAGATTAAGTAAGTTTATTATCTGCTAGAAAAATTTACCTTTAGAGGTTGCAGCTTTTAAGTTAATCTTTACAAAGTAGGCCTAGGCCTAAGTAATTCTGACCATAGGCCTATCTAGGCTAGGTAGCCTACCTCTTAAATGTGAATGAGCGACATGCACGTAGGCCCTATTAAGCTGAAATGTTATGAGTGGGGAAGGAAATTTTAGTGTAGGCCTATTAATAGGCTAGGCTGGATTGTCATTTAGGTACCAACTTTGGCCTTGGTTGACATTGTAAGAAACGGATAGGCTAGCCCTAGGGAGTAACCATCTCTAAAGCCATGATTACAAGAGGCTAGTATATTAGGCTGGTTACAGGGCAGATTAATTGCCATTAGTGCATTTCATGTTCGCAGGATACGCATCCGATAACCGAACGTGGATTAGGCGTCTGGCAGTGACGTCAGCGGGTTGTGGCGCCCCGGAACACATTTACCACGATATGATTTACAGTCATCGGTGTTCGTGGTGTATTGGATAGAGTACTCGGCTGATTTACAAGAAGTATCTAGAGATTGAATCCAATAGATGACATTAAGTTATCTTTTTGTCAAAGATTTTGCTTGGAATGCAATTTCTTCTTGATTGTAGCCTACATCTTTTGTTAGAATTTATTGATGTTCATAAAATAATATTATAAATTATTTTATGAACATAATTTAACTTTCATTCGAATTGTTCATTATCAGCAAGTTTGGTTAGTTATGTAGGTTAGGTTATGACAGTAACTGCTGGACGCCTAATACACGCCCGGTTACCGGACGCGTATCATCTGCCTTTCAAGTTACCTGAGGCAGGTTAGCCTGTCTGCCGACTGGCTTGGTGTGAACATGGCATTCGGCTGAGAACGTGGCATCTGAATATAGGCTTGCTATTAAATTTATAAGGATACTTAATTATAGCCTACTCAACATTGTTATACAGGGTGTTTTTTTTAACGCGACCCAAATTAAAAGTAGGTAGCCTAGTGTGAGACACATTTTAACCCTCCGAGTGTCCCTAGTTTTGGCCTTAATGTTTGCCTATTTTTTGCGCATTTGCAAGGTTTTATTAAAACGGATCTAAGAAGCTTAAAAACAATGTTAATTATACTGTTCTATATACCATTTTGTTTGGAAAATCATGGGCTTCAATATTATACATAAAACATAAGAAACTTTATGAGGATTACAAATATATAATAATATAATGAAGTAGATTTGCAAATAAATAAGTTATGGGCAAAAAACAGATTTCAGTACATAGCGTTTAGCTAAGAATGCATAGCCTAACCATAGCTAGGAATCTGGCTGATAATTTACATCATTATCACTACCTACTTCTTCAGGATCATCAACCAGCCCTTCAAAATTACTTAAATCTTCTTATAATGCACCACGTATATCACTACTTTTGATTTTTAACACTAAAACAATGATTTTAAACGTAATAAAACACATCAGTCATCGTTGCGAGGTTAACCAAGCTGTTAACAAATACGCACGTCAGCTGTCTGCTACAATTATGATCGGCTCGAGAAAAAAAAGCGCTTAGAGACAGACCTCGGGAGAAAGCTTAGAATCTGCCAAATAAAACTATACCTAACCCGATCCAGTTCAATCCGATTTGGTCAGTCATAGAGCCTTCGCCGTAAACAGTGTTTGTGAGTCGAAAAATTGACACAAAACACTACACAAAGTGTGTTATGTGTCGATTTCTCGACACATAACACTCGGAGGGTTAAGAAAAAAATAACTTAAGCTTAGTAATTTTTATGTTGGTATCCCTGTTTTCTTTACTTCATTGCTGATTAGGTAATATGCATTGTTGCATAGCTATCTCATTTATGAGTACAGTATTAATTTAGGCCTAGTTGGGAATTTATTGTAGAGAAGACACAACATTCAAAGAGTTGTATGAATATGTCAAAAGTAGGCTAAATTATTGGTTTCATCGTTTCATGCCAAGCCAAGAAAGGTTTGAATTTTTTTACAGTTGCGATTCCAGTAGGACACCTTTTAAACCTAAGTTTATAAATGAACTATTATGTTTTTGACATACAGGCTACAAATTTCAGCAAACCCGTTCCTTAGTCAAAAACTAAAAAAAAACTTACACATAGCCTATATATGTGTAGGTACCTAGGTACTGTGGTATATCTTAAGCCCCTGTCACACGGAGCTGGTTCCAGCAGCTAGTTCTCGCTGCGAGAACCAGCAGCTTCAGTTGCTACTACAGAACTAGCGCTACAACTTACAAGTCTGGGGATGTAATTGGATGTAACTACACACTCCGTAGGTAGCAAAAATAATGTTGGTATTATAAGTGATGTTTTGTCAATGATCAGCCATTATAGAAGTAAAAAGTGCCACGAAAAATTAAATATTAATATATAAAAACACTACTATTGTATCTACTACAGTCATGTAAACTAACTAATTGAAATCAAATAGGTTTTGTGGTAGGCGTATAACAAAAGGAATTTATCTTTCATCAACACAAAAAAAATCACATTCATTTAATTAATATATGTGAGATGTAGCAATCGTAACAACGAGAAAAATATGACAATGCGTGAACAAATTTCTAAACATGAAAGTTTAAATGTATTCTTGATTAGTTAAAATGTGTTCAATTAATTTAAATTCATTTTTCTTAAAGCGATAACTAGCACGATTCTGTCAGACTACAGCTGGGTGGTCACACGACCTGCTAGTGACTCTTCAAGCGCTTGTAATATTAAACTGTTTAAAACCTCCAGCGGCTGGAGATACCAGCTCATGCGAGTGTTTCTAGCAGATGGAGAATAGTCACACGATGCTGGTTTTCTGCTGGTTCTAGCTGCTAGTTACTAGCGGCGAGAAAACCAGCTCCGTGTGACAGGGGCTTTAGACAAAAATTGCATCAGTGTATGACATAAAAACATCTATGGTCTTATAAAAAAATCAGTTTAGGCTTTAAGAACAACTTATTTTGTCAAAGCTCTTAAATAACTGCAATAGTATATGAAATTAAACAACTATTATTGTCGGATGAAAAAAATAATTTGTTAGAATGGCTACTAATTAATTTGTCAAAGTTCTTTTTCTTAAAAAAAAAAAAAAAATTCCCTGAACAAACACACCAGTAGGCCTTTCCACTAAACGTTCACTGTCATTTCTTTCAACACTAGCCAACAATCTTGTAATTTGTTCTTCTTCGTCCATTTTAAAATATCGCTAAATAAGGTTGGTAAATAAGGTCACAAGGGCACATACGGAACTAGGCTCCAGGAAACCTGTTACATCACAGGACGCACACAGAAGCTACTTCCAGTAGTGAGACAAACCACTCCCCAAGGTCGACTGACAACTGGGAATGGGCTAAGAGTAGCCTAAACCAATTCCGCGAAAGAGGTACGGCAGGGGACAGCCCTGCCGAACACAAAACTATGGTTTTTATTATAGAAAAATGTTGTGACTGTGAGGTAACCTCCGTGATGCGCCCGATGGAAGGTTAAATTTGTACATTTGTCAATATAGTTGATTTATTAGGTACTGGAATCGCACCTAGAAACCTAATTTCAATCCTTTGTTGGCATAAAACAAAAAATTTACTTTGGTTATAACGGTTAACGTAACCTTATAACTCTCCAAGCTTGGGGAAACACCATGTTGTGTCTTCTACAATAAATTACCAGCTACACTAAACCTCATAAATAACTATGCAACAATGCACGTATCAGCTGATTGGCAATGAAAAAAAAAGAAACAGGGATGCCAACATATTAAGCTTGTTCTGTCATTAAAATTTGTATGACAGTACTTTTAATTTGGGTTGTGTTTACAAAAAGATACCCAGCAGTTTTTTTTACAGCTGAATAGCCTAACCTAACCTTACCTAAGTACTTCAGATAAGTGATTGTACAACAGTACTATCCAAGACTTAAAAGCTTTTAGGCTTAACTTTCTGGGTTTTTTTAATTTGTCTATTTTCTTTGACCACAATCTTAGTGTTGTTATTGGTTACAGGAATTAGCTTCAAACTGGGGAACTTATTGAGGAAAGGTCTAACAATTACCCCAAGGGTTGACCAACAAGATGTTTTAAAAATTCCCGAGTCAGCCGATTCCTCTAGCAGCATGGAGGTAAGTTAAAGATCTTTTCTGTTTGGTAACTTGTTCAGAATGAATGTTTAGATGTGAAGTAGAATTATTTAGCCTATATGACTTTATAAACTGTAGCCACTCAACCATAATAACCTTAAAACCATAAATGAGCCAAGCATGAATTTTATCAACTGTGAAAAATCTGTATTTATCCATGAAATAATGGTCACAACTTGAACATGGGATCCTATTTTGGATATCCCAAAACAGTCAACACCTGCAGTGTTGATGAATTGTTGATTCTCGGTAGGCCTACTTTATGAATTTAGATTCAAAATATCCATTTCAGAATCCCAACACATTCGCAGTAGCTTCGTGATAAACACAATTACAACACTAGAAACCGGGATTTACTTATATACCCCATCATCACTCTACGACATCTTTAGTAAAGACCATTCACTACATGGGAATTAAATTGTACAATACAATAAACTTCCGAATGTCTTGAGAAGTGTAGCAATAAGTTTAGCACAATTTGCAGCTACTAATATCAAAACTAACTTTATAATATGTATTTCTAACCAGAAAGACATATTATAAAGTTAGTGTTTTTTAAAATTGTTCTCAAATATTATAAGCTGGTCCTGTTCCTCGTCATAACATTTTATGATAGGTTTTAATGTTAACCTTGTTGATTTTTCATGTTAGCCTACATAGATGGATTTTTTGTTATGCAATTTTACAAATATTCACTACCATAAATGTTTTGTAAATTTTTTATGTTTTACAGATATGTTTTATTATTAAATTATATAAATCCTGTTATTTAGTTTTAAGCATGACCAATATCCCTATCAATTTTCAGTTAGGCTATGCAATATTTTTCTTAGATGTTACAAAATTTGTTGGTTATTATTACTAAATACGTTTAAGACTGTTATTTAGTTTTAAGAAAGGACTACCTATTTTAAATGTTATAAGATGACAAAGCACCTGTACATTTACCTGTAAACTCTGTACGTTATATGCCAATAAACATGAGCCCCCGACAGATTGTGCGGTTGTTAATTACGAATTTCTGTTAAATACTGTAATTCTTTACGATACGAAGCCTTACAGAATGGACAACTTATGGTAAACTGAGGTACATATTTTACGTCTCATAAACCATCATAGAAACAAGTAGGCCTACTAGATGAGGAAATATTGTAACACCACATTCTGTGAGTGGTTCGTATAGTTATGTTCAGTAAAAAAATTGGTTTGTTAACTATAGCGCTATAGAATTTATATGGGAGTCAATAAAAAACTAATTTATTTGTAACTTTGTTGTCAGATTATTTTTAACCTTTTACTTACTGTTTACCCAAACCAATACAAGTTTATTTTAGATCTATATGATTTATTTGTTTGTTCCAGAATACGGAACAACCTGATGATGATTTCATGATGGATTTTGAGTCAGGTAAGTGATCACAGTTGTGCTGATCTGTAGCTGATGGGGTGTTGGGGTGTTATGGAAGTTAGGAACATGAACTCGACTTAGCATATGAGTTGGTAGGTGTTGGTATATCCCAAAAAATTACCGGTCAGGTTAACTTAACTGAAGGATTAGGAAGCGCTGGATCTGTTTAAAGACTTTACCCTGAAGCTGATTGTGCCCATTGCCGTAAACACTCTAAGCTAGCTTTTGATAAGCTGTGATTTAGATTTAACTAACTTATAACATGCACAACTTAGATTACCTCTACCTGAAAAACTCAGAGCTGCATTGACATAAATAAATCAATAAATGCCTTACTATTGAATACTGAAATTGTGACTAAGATAATATTGTGGACTAGTTAATTACTTTGATTGGCAGGAGAGAAATATCGATCAATCTAACACCATGTGATTTCTGTTACATTGTCCCAACAAGTTTTATGCCAGTGTCCGACGTTACAACTCCAAAACTACTTCCTAAAACCCTGGTTTCTCCCCAGCAACCCCTGACTAAAAGCTAACTATTTTATATTCGTGTATTTGGCAAACTTAATATCTTATTTAGGTACTTGTTAACCTGTTAGTCTGATGTAGTGCTTGATTTGCGATAGAGTGAGCGAGACGAGGTTAGTGTTTCTTTTCTATTTGTTTCTCTCGAAAAATCCAGACTGACATTTGTTGTAGCCAGATTGAAAGGAATTTGGGCTAGTAACTTTTTTCTTGCGTGCTGGTTATACATATGGAATGGTAACACGCACGGCACTTATCAAATTAGAGAATGTTACTTTATGGGTGTTTTTTTTTTTTTTTTTTTTTGTTAGAGTCCAATACCAAGTCTAATAATCAGCTAATAAAAGAGAAAGATGAGTAATATTAAGATAAAAAAAATAAATAACAATAATATTTTAAAAAACAATCCATCAGCACAAGTGTACTTGGTCCAAGAGACTCGTTCACGTCGTTTCAAGCATGTTTTAACTTTGAAAAAAAAGAATAAAATCAAATAATTTTTTTACATTTAACAATAAAAAAACTTGTAATAAACTTGCATATTAAAACAAGTAGCATCTCATATTTCAAGTTTCTGTCACATCCATCAGTATACACCTATTAAGAAAATACAACATTTTTTGAATTAAATTAAGCAAATAAATAAATGATCCGTCAACAAATAAACAAATCAATGACAAAAATCTGTGTGAGTGAATAATTCAGACCAGTTTTGACATGGGTATAATTTTGCAGGAAGTTGTAGATTGCAGTTGAATTTGAGTTTAAACATATGTTGACTGAACTCTCCATCCTTTCTCCTGAAAACAGCTGCCCTGATACTGTGCCAACGATATGATATGGAAGGTTTCAGTACATTGATGTGCGATATAAAATTAATAATGCTCTGCTTGTGTTTTTTGACTCTCTGTCTAAAATTCAACATTATTATTTACTTATTCATTTGGTTTTGAAAAAAAGACTTAGTTATGTAGACTTGAAAATGGCACAGCTTTCGAAAACATGTCTCTGGTCTATTGCAATTACAATCTAGTAGACTCCCTCTTATCCGGACTCCTCGGGACCGAGGCCAGTCCGGATAACACGTTTTCCGGTTAAACCGACGTCCCCAAAAACGCGTTAAAACGGACTGTTAACTGTGATATTCGACTTAAATTTAGGAGAGCATTGTATTTAGGCACGTGATCACTGGTCTCAAATCTTTCCCACGAGAACAGTTGTTTCAGTACTGCCCACTTCCTGCAGAACTAGTCCAGTTAAACCAATGTGTTGATAAAAATTGTCCGGTTAAAGAGATGTCATTTCCGCCGAGTGTAGTCCGGTTAAACCGATGTCCGGTTAAAAGGTGTCCGGATAAGAGGGAGTCTACTGTATAATGAAATAAAATACTAATAGAAATGTTAAAGCTGAGTAGTATTATTTTAAAGTAAAAATACTTGTAGTAAAAGTAAAAATACTATCAAAGTTTGGAATTAGTATAATAATCCTTTTTTTTATTTTGTAGGTATTGACACGTGGATTATTGACAAAGATGATTCAATTGGCTCGTTTTCTTCTCTTGATAGAACAGGAAGAGATGGTAATAAGGAAAAAAATATGAATAAAGAAAACATCAAGAAGTTATCATCATCTATGTCCAAGAATTCACTTAGAAGTTTTAGGATAAGGAAAAGAGTCTCTTATGAGGAACTGTCTTCAGAGTCAGAAAGTGAGATGAATAACAGATTAGAAGATGAATTTAGCAAGATAAAGAGGAAAAGACATTCAGAACCCCCCAGGGTGACAAATTATATGTCTTCGTCTAGAAAGCACTCTTCAAAAGACCTAATAAAAGATGTAGAGAATTTAAGCTCTGAGGAGATATCTTTAATATTGTCAGATGAAGACAGAGATTATTACTCTCCTGGAAGTAAGCGGGAAAGACTCCTTTCAATTGAAAATGTTTCCTCTACAATGGATAGTAGTTCATCATCTTCTTTACCTCATATTAAGTCCAATCCAAAGGTGACCAGTTACAATTTTAATTCTATTCAATCTGAATATGGCAAGACAAATAAAAAACTCTTCCAAGATGTTTTCAAGAGAAGAATTTCAACAGAAAATACTTCTCAAGTAATCCAGATACACAGGGACTCGTCATCTTTTGATAAGAGACATATAAGATATTCAAAGAAAGACAGTTGTAACTTCAACACACATTATCCTATAAAGGAGCTTAACACCCTGCTTGAACAAGTTTCTACGGAAGCCAATTATGATGATTGTGTTTTCTCAACACCTTTGAACAAAACCCAAGATAAACTCAAAACATTCCCTGCTATAGTTGATAATAAAATAATGACAAACGATTCTTCTAATCCGAAACATGCAGAGAAGATTAAAGAAAGTCAGTCACTGAAATGTAACATTTGTGGATACTTGTCTGCTGAACTTTTTATCCATAAGTCTCACCAGATAATGATACACAAAGATAAAACTAATTTGGAATGTGAATACTGTAATTACAAGGCCACCCAGCATGCCAGCCTAGCCACTCACATCCGAGTGCACTTCCGCAAGGACTGCCCTTATTGTGATTATAATTGTTGTTTGAAATCCAGTTTGAAATCCCATCTTCTGAGGTACCACCAAAAGGCTTACCCTTACAGCTGTAAAACTTGCGGTTACTCTTGTGAAACCCAACAAAAATTGAATGATCATTTACAATTACACGGGTTGAAAAAGTTCCAATGTAGTGAGTGCTTTAAATTCTATTCAAGCAAAATATATTTATCAGCACATGTCAAGAAGCATTTGGTGAAGTCAAAAACAGTAAAATGTCACAAATGCGGCCGAACCTTTTCTCAAATTCGGAGTTTGAAGCTTCACATGAAAAGTCATGGAAAATTGGATTCTTTCCTCTGTTCCACCTGCAACGCCTCCTTCTCGAAGAAATTACATTTTGAAAATCATATAAAGAAGCACCCAGTAGTCCTTAAAAATTTTAATTGTGAAAAATGTGGTTTAGCATTTATGCGGAAAAACCACCTCACACTCCACATGCGAGTTCATTTACCCAAGCAAACTAAATGTAAATACTGCTCGTTCCAATGTACTGATGCAAGGGAAATGATAAATCACATGTGTGTTCAACTAAATAAATTATATGCTGTTCAAAAGCGATCTCTCAGTTTTGAACGTAAAGAAAAAGATGAAAGGAGCAACAATGTCAAAACTAGAACCAATATTAAAGCAAAATTAAGAAAAGTGTCCCATAAAGAATATGACAAGTTAGCTGAAAACCTCACTAGACCTGAAATTTTGGTTTCAAAATCAGAGAATATGAAGAAACCTGGAAATAGAAGACCTAGGGTATTGGCACTTCGAGAAAATGTACGCCATTTCAAAACAGGATCTAAGGATGAAATGAAAAATGCTAAACTTTCAAAACACAGTAGGAATCCTGAACGTAAACGGGGCAGACCCAAAAAACAATTAATTGAAGGAAAGTCTAATTCTCACATCAGGAATAATGCAATTAAAAATGGAACTCGCAAACATAACTCTGCTTGGAAAAGTGTAAACATTGTCAAAAGGCAGAGAAGGGATGTTAAAAGGATAAAAAAATATAACTTGTTTAAAGGGTTAGAGATAGCTGGTCTTTTATCAAAGCAAAAAGAATTCATGAAGGAATTATTAGTTGAGCCAGTAGCTTTTACAAATAACAGTTTTATAGAGTGTTACTATCAGAGTCAACAACCGTCTTCCACAACAACTTTTCATCACCATGAGGAACGTCACTTGAGAAGACCTACTTTGCTCTCTTGTAGGTTTTGTTCCTACAAAACAAACTCTCAGCAACTTTTAAAGTTCCATGTTGACAAAAACCACACTTGGGACCCGGCTGTTGTCAGTAAGTTGTTTAGACCTTGAATTGGCTCGATGTCACATACTGTGGATTGTTCTGTGTAGCCATACATGTAAGGAAAAATGTAAGTAAACTTAATGGCTGTACAGTTGAGTCCCGATTATCTCATCTTATGTTACCTGTGGTGCTTTTTGTAACCCTCCCTGCGGATGATCGAGTACAACCCCTTGGCCAACCCTGGCTCTTGACATTTTCTGACCATTTGATCACCCTGCATACCACACAGTACTTCAACTTTTAGCTTGACGACTATTAATTTTTATATATTTATCAATATATAAGTAACAGATAGTGTTTTTATTAACTTCGTTGATTTTTTTATGTGATTGGTGATGAATTCAAAACAAAATAACTGGTTTCAATTCAGGACAAACCAAAGCCTTGGAAGGTTTGCTAACTAACAGAAAAACTCCATTGATATCATGACTTTTTATACGTCTACAATGTTTTTTTATTAATCATATTCCGTTTAATCCAAAATTTTAGCTTCTCCGACCTCACCGCGGCTAGTTTAGGTCAGATAATTGAGACTCTGCTGTACAAACTTTGTAAAACCACTCTTGCCTTTTACATATCCCATGGCTTTTTAGAACAAAATTCTGTGTAAAGGATTGAAAGATGCTATGAAAACTAGTCTACTTTAATTCCACGGAAGTGCTTTTACATATTTGAATATTTATATATTGAATAGTGTATACCGGTATATCGATTTTAATATTTTATATTGTAAGTGAAATAATTTAATCTAAACCGAGAAATGTATAAACGAACGTGTCATATTTGCTCCTTTTAGTGTTTTCCATTCTGATTAAATCAAGCAGTTTTAAATTTGACATTTTTCTTGCTAAGTATTTTTTAATACATTGCTATAAGTTCTCATGGATTAATGGCAGTTAAGAGGTTTTTTGTTTTATTTAATCAAATTTACACTACCTTCGGGTCCTTGCTTACATAGATCTTGTCTTTCCACAACATCTTGCTTCAATTTTTGAATAAATTTTCCAAATATGATTTTGCAGTTTACTTAGCTAATGTAATAAAATTAATTTATCCTCGCCTCAAATTATTGTACATGTGTATTTGCTACTTTCTGGTTCTGTACAAATATTAATCCTTGAACTTTTCTCTGGCATGTTTGTGTTATATTGCTTTTAACATTTTATTAGTTTTTTTGTTGTAAATTAAGTTAAACTGTATGTCTGTGAATGTATTACAACTATTAACTAACTATCATAAAATTAAGTAATTTTATGGAATTTTTCAAACATTGTTTTTGACTTGGTATGGGCATAGATTAAACCATTGACTATTGGATACTAGTCAAAGATTAAATATAGTGTACTCACTTGGTAGATTTGACATCCGTAGATCAGCTGAAGTCTTTATTATGGTTCTGTCTGGTGCCGCTAGGGGCGTGTTTTTGTTTACATTTTGTTTCTTGTCATTTCAATTATTTAAAACCTCGATTAGCCATTCAAAGCTATTTAATCCTAAACCATAGTTTGTCTCCTGGTTATATAACCAAACAAAATTTTGTGGACATTAGCTCCCATTATCACCAACATGAACTAGATATGGAAAACAAACTTCAAAATTGACTATGGGATGAGAAGAATACTTGTGTTGATTAGTCAAATATACTAAGCTGCATCTTGCATGTTGTAACTCAATTGTAATGTAATGATACGATAAGTTATAAAGAAGTATTTTTGTAAAATCTTTTTTGACTTTGGCCACAGTATGCATATTGATTTCCAAAAGAAAACCTAGTTTTTTATGCAGTTTTCTCAACTGCACCTCATGAATATAAATGTGATTGTTTCAATAATTAAAAAAAAATATGTTTTCAAAGTTGATCCATGTAAAGTAAGTGATGTCTTGATGTGAGATTTTTTTTATGTCCAAAACTTGACATTATTTTAAGTAATGTTCATAGTTCACTTTAGTTGATGAAAACCTGAATCTTACAGATACTGTTTGGAAAATTATTGTTATAGGCTAAAAAAGTTTTTCCTTGGTAGATTTAATATAGATATATTGGATAACAACAATATAGTATGCATGTTTTAAATGTAATATAAATAAAATTGTCCTCGATTGCCCAACATGCAGTGTACTTGTTATAGAGTCATAGAGTCTTTAAAGTACTAAAAGTATGCACAAAACATAATGTTGCACTTTTTAATATACTATTTCACATTATAACTTATTACAGTGTTTGGAATTTGTTTTACTACTTGTAATTACCTGACCATGGTAATAACTTTTACCTCTTTGCCTTTCTAACATGGACATTTAACTCCTAAAAGGCAACCAGTGTAAACAAAATAATTTGACAATCACTTGATAAATCTCATCTTTGACACTGTTATAAAGCCTTCATTTGCAATGTTTTTATAATTTCAAGAATTGGAGATATCTTAAAATGTTTTTTTAAATACAGAATAATTAGTCTATTAACATACCCAATCGGTAAATCATGGGGTCAGTCAGTATAAGGTTGTCAGAGTGTACACTGTACTACTGTACAACCAATACATTGATGTCTTAGGATACGATTAATGGTTGTAATTTTCATGTTTTAGGTGACTAAAGTCACAGAAAACATACTACTATAACCCAGAATGCCAACCGCATGGTAAAAACCATTAAGTGTTTTGAGAGAGCTTTGCCTGTCAATCCGTAGGCAGCGCCACCAGCGTTGCCATGCACTCAGCATAGCAACGCTTGTGGCGCTGTCTACGGATTGACAGGCAAAGCTCTCTTAAAACACTTAATGGTTTTTACCATGCGGTTGGCATTCTGGGTTATAGTAGTATGTTTTCTGTGCTAAAGTGAATGATCATGTCATTTTGTTATATATATATAATTCTCTAAAGTAGTTGAGCTATTGTACAGTTTGTGTAAATATATTTATATTTTGCTATTGGATATAAATGTCTGTATGAAATAATAATTGCTCTTTTTATAACTTGTTATTTAAATTGTCAACACTGAAGGATATAAATTTTTGAAAGGGTGAATTTGTTGTACAAATATTGTAAAATTTACTATGGCTGAAATAAAATCTACCTTTTACATTTTGAATATGTTGTTTCTGTCTTCAAATTTTAATTCATACATGATTCATAACATTTAGCTATTTATATATTTTTTCATTTTATAAAATTTTTATAATTTAACCAACCAAGTGCAGGGTTAAGTTTCATGTTGTTAAAAAATACCCTGCTGCAGCAAGCCTGCAGACAAAGCAAATTTCCATTTGCATGATTCGATTTTCTCTTAAATCTACGAGGTAATACTGTATTAGGTTAAACAAGTACCTAAGTTTGCTGCTACAGGAAGGATAGATAATAAAGTGTGTTTTTGTAAAGTATCAATAGCTTAGTACATTAGAAATAAATTTGCCATTTGCAATTTGATAAAAATATATTCACAAACATGCACACACATGAACACTTTACTTCTCCATAAGAATAACATGGGAATTTTTAATTTACACTTTTATGGAATTTACTCCACAGTCATTAGGTGTATGAAAACACTTCAATACTAAATTATTTTGTTTTTTAAGCTCTACAAAATGGTTTGGAAAGAAATTGCAAACTTTAATATTTTGAGGTTCAAAAATGGGGAACAATTTTTACTCCATAAAACCCCGTTCCCATGGTCCGGTCATGATGGTTTGCGAACTCACCTAAGTTCATCCCGGTCTACACCTTCAAGCCAAATTTCTTCAAAATCTGACAAAAATTACTTAAGTTGTCGTGTTCACGGACACATAGATTTATATATATATATATATACATTTGAACCAATTGTGTTTTTGGCCTCTGGAGGCATCAAGATGAAAAAGTAAATCGGTCACGGGCTTACGTCTTGCTGCGTCACCTTTGGTAATAGCTACTTCACTGTAGGGAAATCAGCCAAAACCAAACAAATGAATTCAAAAATTTATTTTTGAAACCTAGGCTTTAAAAATATATCTAACCTTCTTTCAACGTGTAATTAGAAGGGGCTCTTTTGTTCTAAGGACAGCCAATAACATACTTGCATACTTGTACTTTTAAACAGATTTTACAAAAGTAAAAATGTACTCTCCCAATAGAAAATTACCTATAAAATTGTACAAGAATCAACAAACACGTTTTTATGTTTTGTAGGTACAGTTAATTTGTTATTTATTAAAAATGTTATGGACTCAGCACCACGATTACGTTAAATTTCTATTTTGTGCAAGCACATTTCCATTTTCAATCGATTTCAGACCTAGCGCTAGGCTGTCTGAAGCGTCAGGTGTAATAACAGGTTTAAAGCCAATCACATGACAATAGAATAGGTAACAATTAAACTGCTGCAACAATGAGGGCAACAATCAGCTGATGGCGTTGTCAAGGGAACGAAGAAACAAGAAACTGACGGGACGGCGGATTCCTCAGTCGCGCTGCGAACATCGTAGGGGAAGGTGGCTTAGCTCGATCCGGCTTGTGATTCACCTTTGGAAAGTACGATTTTTCCTATTTTCTGTGATGTACTCTTTTAGGTCCATACAAATACTAGAATCCTACTGCTGATAAAGGTATGAGCCAAGAATACGATAGCCAATTTAAAAAGTTGCACTTCTGGGTTCCTTATAAAGTTGTAAAGTTGCACTACTGGGATTCCTTATAAAGTTGTTGAATTATTTTTTAAACTGGTTCTATTGAGTAATTACTTCTTAAATCAAATGTCGTTTTAATTGAATATGTTTTGCGCATTAACCTAATGATAACGATTATTAAATGATTATAATAAGTTGTATCTCAATTTTAACTGTAGAACATTATTTGTGATCATTTCCGTATTACACAGACCTTATAAACAGTAGTTTACGCTACGATCGCGTAAATATCGCGTCCTCTAAAATCAAATAATGTTGATATTTTGACACATTCGTGGTTTCTCTTGTATTTTATGGATCATTCAATTATCAATCCCCATTTTTAGTATTTTAGTAAAGTAATTTTCCCTATTTAGTATTACTGAATGAGACATTACTGAAATGCAGATTGATTTCAGCATCCATCTTCAAAAATGCTTTCATACACTTGTGTTGGATTTAATTTTGTAATAAAAACTAATAATACCGACTTATATACTGTACATCTAGTAGTGTGAAAGATAAACTCAATCTGAAAACAGTTTCTTTCTGGTCCATAATGCATCTTTCAGAATTCGTTGTAAAAATGGCCGGCTCTATTCATCATAGCTTAGTTTAATCAGTAACTGTTGCTGGTTTCACACCTTTCAACGGAATCTACAAATAGATATAGATACCGAAAGACTCGCTGCAGACAATGAATTTTCAACAGTTTCATGTTAGAAGTGTATAAAAGTGGCATTGCAAAATATAACTATATAAATATAAGAAAATCCCTAAGGAAATGATATCACATCAATGATAACATTGGGTAAACAGTATTTCTCTTTGATTTTACACCCGCACAAGCAGGGAAAATTGTATGTTCCAGGGTTGGATCCTAAAACATCCGGTCAGAAATCATTGATTTTTATTCGGAAAAGCTGCAATTTCTCCACTGTTAGCTGTCCAATAGTCTTAATATCAGAGTTAATGTGATTAAATTACAACTTTTTTGTCTCTTGTAGTTTTTTTATTTATGTTTTTCTTTAAATATTTAGGATTAAAACACAAAAACCTACGCCATTTTGAAACGATACAAATTAGAAACTTGATACCCAATACCGTAATACATCTTGTTATTCCACATGCACTTACAAAGTTTGAATTTAATACCTCGGGAAGTTCTTAAGATATGATAAATTATGTAAAAAACAAACACACAGACGGAAAACTGAGCTCTTTAGGACATGTGTTTGTATCAACTTTCTTTCTTATTTTTACCTCTACAATCATGTATTTAAATATTTTACCATAATTTCTGGATATCCTGTATTTTGCGGATATTATTCAACAAAAATCGTCGCTATCCTATACTTTGTACCTCTCTCTAATACCTTAATACTTTTACCACCTAGTAGCTGGGACGCCACCGTCCCCCCAGTCTAAAATAATAATACATACGGCAGTTTGATATGTAGATCCTACTCAACCATTTAACATTTCACCCGTATCGCGTGTGATTGAATGATTGTTAACGACTTTAATCTTCCCCTCTAGTTCACCCTCCTAGTCCTTTGTCTAGATTGCAGTTTCAGCTCAGAATGGTGTTTCTTAAACTAATAAGAGTTTCACAAATTGATATTCTCACCATAGCTGCGGTAGGCCAAATACGCAACTTTTATCAAATAATTTATCACAATACTGTATTTTCCAAATTGATCATTTGAATTAGCACATAGTTAACTGAATGTATGATTTTTATCTTGCACGTTCCATAACGCTTTGCGTTATTGGTTTGAACATTTAAAACTGTGGCAATTTAATGTTTCAACAACTTTTCTTATTCAAAAGAAGTGATTGTTCGAGGTACAACAGAGCCATTTTTATCAGTGTTAAATTCTTTAAACAATTGTATTTTGGAAAATTGAAGTAAAAATTATCATCTCATTTTATGAACGATCAAAATCGAACCGTTTGAGAATCTTCAAACTGGGATTACCACTTCTCATCATCAAGTAACGAGAGTTGTGTCATCTTGCGGTATTATTTCGTCAATTTCTAAAAATATATGAAAAACAAAGATGCCACGATATTTTGTTTGAAATCGTAACTAAATGAATAATTTAGTAAGTTCAAAATGCAACGTAAAGGTTTTTAAATATTTCTAACTAGTTATTGTAAATTGCTCAATCGATGCCAAAAAACATAGTACTGTAGGTTTTAAATTAAATTCATTTGAAAATTTCAGTTTATTACACCTTTTATTATGATAATGACTCACAGATTCGTAAGGGTTGAGAGTATCGAATTTTCTTAAAAAGCTTCACTTTATTTCCTCACAAATATTTACTAGGTATCGAACCTTTCTATTTGGTGTACTTACACTCAATAATAATATTTACTCAGCAATTGCCTATTTTTAGCATTTAAGATCAATCTAGTATCAATACAGGTAAACCCTTGTATCAAACAACTGCCACAGCCTATTCGATTGATCGCTACAGCATAACCTATATACTATCTAGTATATCATGTGGGCCGTGGCGAAGATCCTGCAGACGACTTCACTGCCAACGCCACCATGATCGCACTCCGACACACCATGCCGCATATCTTCATACTTCTCGGTAAGCATGTAATATTACGTCTGCATGTTAAATTCTTTCTACGATTTATTGTTTTCTGAACATAATATAAACTCTAACTGAGTAAATGGTTTGTTAGCTAAACTTTCACATTTTCGTATATACGGAAGTTTTTTTCCTTCGGAGGAATTTCAATTTTACAATATATCACATAACAGTAAAACAGTTTTTTTTTTTATCCAGATGAATAAAATAGTATGAGCACAACAATTAGTTTGACATAATTACAAATCATTTGTTTCATTTTATTAATGTTTTAACTTTTTGTCAGTGAACCCCCACGACTCATGCGTACTCCGACTCATGATAGTAATGCACGTTTGAATTTTCAATCCTCTTTAGTAGACGATAAATAAATATGCTTGTATCACACTAAGGAATCTTACGCTTGACAAATCAAGATCCCCAATTTGCAAAATACTACACCAAACCTTCAAGTAGCTTAACGATATCCAGGAAGAAAGTCTAAGTTTAAGGTCAAGGGTGACGGAAGTTCGTGACAATGTTAGAGAATCTTTCGTGTCCATGTGAGCCATAAATTAATGTATGAAATTAGGTCTCCCAAGCATCTTTATCTCGGTTAGAATATTATAAATATTTTTAAATTGTATGTTACACGTTTTATTTTGAACCTAAACTTAAAACTATAAGTTGGTACAAACGAATTGTTTGCTTTAAAATCGGAAGATTCAGTTTAATGTGGTATGGTTTAATTTCGAGGTTTTTGTAACAATCGCTATAATTTTTCGCACTTTTAATCTGGAGCCGACACTACTAGTTTTTAGTCCTAATCAATTGTCACTTAAAAATTTGGTCTATTCCTTTTCGCTGTTAGGGAGTTTCTATTAAGTGATTTATTTTTTGTCACACACCCTTTCATTTTTCCTTAGCCCCCTCCGGCTAAGGACCGGCCCCTCCTTATCCATCAGTAGTTATTTAAAGGGTTGTCTTTATTGTTAGTAGTTTGAAAATTGATTTTATTTAAGTTAAATACAGTAACAGTACTGGTATTTTTCTCCACAATTGTACAAACTTATTTAATTTCTAATCTTGAGTTTAGTGACCGAGCGAAACCAAGGTTGAGATATTCGCTAGGTTCTAAAAGACACTGTTTGCCCGAGTTAAAGTGAACTAAATTTTTCTTCATATATTCTTTAAATTAAATAACTTACAAGTTTAACTTCATTTAAGCAGTAGATTCACTTTTCCCTTATATACCATAAATATTTATAAATTTTCCCTTATATACTATAAATATTTATAAATTGATTCAGCACTGTCGTTTACCTCAAAGGAAGATCTTTTCTTGGTGCGCTAATTTCATTCCTAACCTCTCCATATTTCTTTGCACTCCAGGCATTCCAGTTTCCTTACTTAATGCATTAGAAGCTTTATGTTTTATACCCTCTATCTGTTTGTAGGGATGGTCCGATACCTAAGCGCGGACGCCCATCCTTCGCCGTTGGACACCATGGCTGACGTCACTAACGACTTTGGAGTCTGCGTTCTTCAGGTAGTCCATAAACACAATTAGTTTGCAACCTTATACAGGGTGAGTTTTAATTGTCCCCCCCCCCAACTTTTTTCTACATTTTTTCAAATATCAACACCAGACCACTTCCAAACATTGTTGGGTAGTAAGTACTTCATTTTGACAAGGTCGCCATTTCCGGCCGCCATCTTGGATCCGCCATATTGGATGCAAAATTTTTTTTTCAAATGTAAAGGTGGGGTTGTGACCCATTATTTCGAACTAAATTTTTACCCTGATTACAATGCCGCAAACCGTTTAAAAAAATCTTGATTCATTCTAAAGTTATGAGGGCTTTTTAAAACTTTATTTTTAGCCCATTTTAACATTGTGCATTTACAAACTAAGACCATAATCTCAAAATAGTGCTAGATAAAGATAAGTATACACTACCAGTAATTGTCGACCTATTTTCACTTGGTTATGACTGATGTATTTTTTTCGGCCGCCATCTTGGATCCGCCATTTTGAAATGTGATAAATTATTTTAAATATGAAGGGGGGGTTGTGACCCATCATTTCGAACTACCTTTTTAAGCTGAACTTAATTCCATGATCCGTTTTTCATTTTCATTTTTTGATTTTGAAATATTGACATTTTTAACAAAAAAATTTCAATATTTCATAAATAAAACTTGATAACAAAAAATGGATTGCGGCATTGTCTTCAGCTTAAAAAAGTAGTTCGAAATGATGGGTCACAACAACCCCTTCATATTTAAAATAATTTATCACATTTCAAAATGGCGGATCCAAGATGGCGGCCGAAAAAAATACATCAGTCATAACCAAGTGAAAATAGGTCGACAATTACTGGTAGTGTATACTTATCTTTATCTAGCACTATTTTGAGAGTATGGTCTTAGTTTGTAAATGCACAATGTTAAAATGGGCTAAAAATAAAGTTTTAAAAAGCCCTCATAACTTTAGAATGAATCAAGATTTTTTTAAACGGTTTGCGGCATTGTAATCAGGGTAAAAATTTAGTTCGAAATAATGGGTCACAACCCCACCTTTACATTTGAAAAAAAAATTTTGCATCCAATATGGCTGATCCAAGATGGCGGCCGGAAATGGCGACCTTGTCAAAATGAAGTACTTACTACCCAACAATGTTTGGAAGTGGTCTGGGATTGATATTTGAAAAAATGTAGAAAAAAGTTGGGGGGGGGACAATTAAAACTCACCCTGTATGGTTATGGCATATTATTTGGTAGCTGGTGGTGGCATATTATTTGGTGGCATATTATTTGGTTTTATGTGAGTGTTGAACCAAAGATTAAAATATCCCTTTGGGTTTATCTTTCATGGATCAGCTTAAGACAACTTTAAAGGTTACTTCCGACTGATTCATGTATAGGGTGTTATTTGCTAAAGGTTACGATCTGTACAAAGGCATGTACGGCACAACTCCACTTGCTCAATTTGGACGTGTTCAATCTAAAAAGAATAGGCCTACTTGGGGGTTTGTTGTTTATGATTTGTTTCTCGCTATTTAAGAAAACTAAATTATCTAATTAAATAAATTGCTTGTCCTAGAAGTAAGACATGGAATCAAAGATTAAGTCGTAAAAACCATCTTAAAATAACGCATTTAGAATCAGCACCTATGAACGTCCCTAACATGAAACTCATAATTAATTAACAGTCGATTTTACAATAGGTAGAATTAAAAGCATACTAGCACTGTTTACAATCAATAATTTTAACGATGACTCCAGACTTCGATAAAGTTAGGTAAGTAGACAAATAAAATTCGTCGTTTTAATTCTCGTTTTTTCACGTATTTCAAAACCATACAAGTGACTCAAAACTATCACTCAAAAATTCGGAGGAAACGCAAACATAGACGTTAATATGTGTTATTCGTATGTACAGTATTATCTTTGACTATTACAACTATACAACAAAGTACTATACAACTTAAAGTACTTAATTACTTAAGTATCTAATAGTCAATGGTATTATTAAGTTTTTATTTTGCAGTGTACATTGATTCCTATTCCACTACTTAATTTGATTTAGGCATAGTCCACGCCATAAAGTAAATATATTGCTTTTTGGTTTTATATTTTCAATATTCAGTCGTTCTTATTAAATGAGGTTTTTTTTTAAAATTTATGACTAAATCAACTCATATGCTTACTAAAACACGTTAAGAGTGTATATGAGCGAGGCTGGCTGAGGGTATAGAACGAGGGACTTCATTCCTGGATGCACGGGTTCAAATCTAGCCAAATACAAATGATTCAACTTTAAGATTATGGCTGGATAGTTTGGATATCACTTATCTAGAAAACAAAAATATAGTTTCTCTAGCGTGGCAATCTTTCTGTGTAACAGCAAAATATCAATATTAAAAGCTATAAAATTATTAGTTCTATTGACATTCAAAACACCGTGCGAATATCCGCATGAAAATCGTCCATCACAAAATAACTGTACCAATTAATTAAAGCTTCTCGTATTTACAGTTGTTGCAAATGATTCTTCCACATAAAATAAAAATAGGTCTATAATCGTTGGAAGTGACGAATGCCGTTATTGCCAGGAAACCCTTGAAGTCTGAAGTGCGTCAAAGTTATAAAACATCTGTAATGGCGAGGAAATGAAGAAATAACTGGCAACAACGTTCCCACGAAACCGCTTCCTTCACTTCACACAACAGTTGTTGATTGTGCGAGCAAAATGTGAATTATACAAGAAACAGTTGAGTGTAATCACTGCACTGCAAATAATTTCATCATGTCGAGTTAGTTTTTTTTAGATATGTTCTTTTGATTTTTTAAGTTAATTATTTGTTGTGGCGTAGTTTTAATATTGGTTTGGGAATTGAGCTGGTCTAATGGTTAGAGATCGGGACTTCAGTCCCGGGTTCAAACCCCCCCAATTCACTAGGTAATGGATTATATCTAAGTGATAACGCCGCAATCCCTAGGTCTAGCCCGGGGTAATGTGATAAACAACCCCGGGCTCGTGCCTAGCGTCCTAGGACAAAAAAGTATCATTGGTTTACAGCCCATACGATATTAACAAAATATTAGGAATTCAGGATGGAACGGATATTAAAAAAATCAAACCACGTATACGTTTTTTTAACTTTTTTTACAATTTGAAATAAAACAAGAGCATTTTACATCTCAGGATTACACTATATTCCTAATTATTTCTAAACACACGCCTCTAAACCATTAAACTACCTTCTTCTATAAGTGAAAAGATTTTTCTCTTTCAGAGAAAAAGTACAGTATATTTTTTTCCAAATTATAATATCTTATAAATACAACTTTACTATAATGAGATAATTAAAACGTAGTACAAAGTATCAACATTGTTATTCGTATTAACTTTTTATTCTTCTGGATGTTAAACATAAACATCTTGAGTCGTTATTTTTTGCGTTCTTTATCCATCAGAGGGGACATTGATGGCGATTGAATGTCCCCAGATTTTATATTATATGTACTCTGTGGTTACCAATGTATGTTATGTCGTACTAATAGATAGTTATATTTGGTTAAAACGGTTTTAAACCGGAAGAGTGGTTTCGAAATAACTCAAAATTATTCTCTGCTGATCCATAAAGATGACAAATCTACAACAGAGAATATGTTAAGTAAATACATTTTATAAAGACAATAATAGGTTTTTTACATACCTCAGTCAAATAGTCCAATAAATGATATAGCACATAAGCTTACATGTTTCGTTGCGAAGACAACATTTTCAAAGCTCGCAACTCGTCAAAAACGAGCTTTGAAAATGTTGTCTTCGCAACGAAACATGTAAGCTGTTGTGCTATATCATTTATTGGACTATTTGACTGAGGTATGTAAAAAACCTATCATTGTCTTAACAATATAGTCCAGGGGCCAAAAACATGAATTTTAATTTAAAAACCCAAAACAAACTTTTGTTGTACCTTATAATGCGGCTGATAGTCCTATAACAAATAAAACGTGATAGTATTGTTTTGGGCGTGTACACTTGGTTCTCAAAAATTTTTATCTGAATGTACATTTTGCAACATTAGTCGTTGAAGGTGATCGTCTAGACTTGTTATTCATTTCGTGATAATGAGACAGCTGTTGACATTGTTGAGTTCAGTCAATAGTTCCCCGTGAGGTTCGTCACCCCGTCCGATCTATATTGTCGAGAGCAGTGGGGAATTACAAGTTTACAATGCTTGATTGGGCCATTGACTTTGGATAGCAACATTTACCATCGTTGTGAAGTGTTAAGTTTCACATTCAGTTTGAAAGCGCTGATGGAGAATAAGTGGTTTTGTATTTTTTATGGTGTATTTTACAGTGTACGCATTGTTATTTGGTTATAATATCAAAGGACAGTAGTGTAGAATTAAATTACTCCATTTGGACGCAGGACTGGACTAATGTTATTTCGCAATAGATTCGTCGTCAGTAAATAAATAAATAGATACTACTAAAATAGGTAGTTGAAGTGTGAGGGTCATTCTCCGTAGTTATCTTGGTTACCAACAATAGACCTTCCAACAATGCAACTTTCGAAAAAAAACTTGCCAACTGTTATTTTTTAACAACAACAAACAATGTAAACGTCCTTCATTTTGAAGCTTCCGTAGAAATATAAATTACATCAATGAAAACTTTAAAAACAACCAAAAAGAAAATTCCAACATCAAACGATATAATTTCCAACAGTTAAATTCCACCAACTAAATTTGCTCCAATCAAACTTCCATCTATTCTTGGACTACTAAAAATTAAATTGCCAATCAATTAAATCAAATTAAATAACTCCCAAGAATATAGCTACAAACAATCTTCAAACGACATAACTTTAAACTAAAGAATAACAAAAAGTGACTATAAACTGAAAGTGAAAATTAAAACTTAAATAATTCTAAATATGTTTTATAATAATACAGTACCTAGTAACAATTCCAACAATTGAAGATTGACAAACCTGCAAAGGGAGTATGTTCTATGATAAAATTGCTG